TACTTTTATTTTTAATAACATGTGCATTAAAAATATTCAAAAACTACGTATTTTTATTTAATATACCAGATGCTATAAAAATGATGCAAACAAGTTTTTTCTACATCCTGTAAAGTTGTCAAAATTGAGATACCTAGGCGGCACTAAAAGCATGGGGAATGGAATATTTCCACTGTTCCTGTCATATTAAAATATTTTTAATTGAAAAATCCTTGGTTTTAAAAATCGAACACCATTTTTTTTTTTTAAAAAATATTCTCGGTCTCTCGGTCTCGGTCTCGGTCACAAGGTTTTGTCAAACGTGTTTAGTCGTTGAGAAAATGGAATTGACTCGAGAAAATTCAAGAGCGATGATTTATTATGACTTTCGAAGTGGTTTAACACAAAAATAGTGTGTTGACCGAACGATTTCTGCATTTAGTGGCCCAATCCAAAACCACAATTTATTGCTGGTTTGCTGAATTTCAACGTGGACGTGTCAAGCTCAGTGATGATCCCCGTCAAGGTCGTCCAAAAACTGCAGGCACCCAAGAAAATGTTGATGCTGTGCGTAAGCTGATTGAGGAAGATCGACATGTGACATACCGCTAAAATTCAGGCAAATTTAGACATTGGCATGAGTGAAATACAAATAATCTTGCATGAACAATTTGGTGTAAAAAAGTTGTTTTCCCGATGGATACCGCATTCGCTCTGTGAAGAGCAAAAAGCGGCTCGCATTACTTGGTGCATCAGAACTCTCGAAAGATTCCACGCAGGATCCTCAAATGCTGTATACAATATCGTATCAGGTGACGAATCCTGGATATATGCGTACGAACCCGAAACATAAAACCAGTCACGAGTTTGGGTGTTCGAAAATGAGTTAAAGCCAACAAAAATTGTTCGTTCACGGAGTGTTGCAAAAAAATGGTGGCCACGTTTGTCTCCAAAACCGGCCATGTTATGATTATTCCTCTTGAGGGACAAAGAAAGGTTAATGTAGAATGGTATGCTAGCATTTGTTTGCCACAGGTCGTTTCTGAAATCCGTAAAGAGAACTTGGTGAGTCAGAACTCTCGAAAGATTCCACGCAGGATCCTAAAATGCTGTATACAACATTGTACCAGGTGACGAATCCTGGATATACGCGTACGAACCCGAAACAAAAAAACCAGTTACGAGTTTGGGTGTTCGAAAATTAGTTAAAGCCAACAAAAATTGTTCGTTCACGGAGTGTTGCAAAAAAATGGTGGCCACGTTTGTCTCCAAAACCGGCCATGTTATGATTATTCCTCTTGAGGGACAAAGAAAGGTTAATGCAGAATGGTATGCTAGCATTTGTTTGCCACAGGTCGTTTCTGAAATCCGTAAAGAGAACTTGGTGAGTCAGAACTCTCGAAAGATTCCACGCAGGATCCTAAAATGCTGTATACAACATTGTACCAGGTGACGAATCCTGGATATACGCGTACGAACCCGAAACAAAAAAACCAGTTACGAGTTTAGGTGTTCGAAAATTAGTTAAAGCCAACAAAAATTGTTCGTTCACGGAGTGTTGCAAAAAAAATGGTGGCCACGTTTGTCTCCAAAACCGGCCATGTTATGATTATTCCTCTTGAGGGACAAAGAAAGGTTAATGCAGAATGGTATGCTAGCATTTGTTTGCCACAGGTCGTTTCTGAAATCCGTAAAGAGAACTTGGTGAGTCAGAACTCTCGAAAGATTCCACGCAGGATCCTAAAATGCTGTATACAACATTGTACCAGGTGACGAATCCTGGATATACGCGTACGAACCCGAAACAAAAAAACCAGTTACGAGTTTAGGTGTTCGAAAATTAGTTAAAGCCAACAAAAATTGTTCGTTCACGGAGTGTTGCAAAAAAAAAATGGTGACCACGTTTGTCTCCAAAACCGGCCATGTTACAACTATTCCTCTAGAGGGATAAAGAACGGTTAATATAGAATGGTATGCTAGCATTTGTTTGCCACAGGTCGTTTCTGAACTCCGTACAGAGAACTGCAACCGCCGCATCAACCTCCATCACGACAATGCGAGTTCTCACACCGCACACAGAACAAAAGAGTTTTTAGAGCAAGAAAACATAGAATTATTAGACCATCCGCCGTACAGCCCCTACCTAAGCCTTAATTATTTCTATACTTTCCCTAAAATAAGGAATAAATTGCGTGGACAGAGATTTTCATCACCTGAAGAAGCTGTGGACGCCTACAAAACGGCCATTTTGGAGACCCCAACTTCCGAATGGAATGGTTGCTTCAATGATTGGTTCCATCGTATGGAAAAATGTGTCAAATTTAGCGGAGAATACTTTGAAAATCAATAGATACATTTTTAAATAGTAATGTTGTGTCACTTCCTTGATTCCAGAAATTTTCAGTGCCACTTGTAGTACCAGTTGCCAGTTCACAGTCGATGTGCTTGCCATCGCCGGTCATATTTATTATATAAATCAATGAAGAATAATTTTTATATCTTATATACAAAAGTTAATATTTGTTTGTTCGTATTTTAAGCGCTGCCATACCGTTCATCAGATTGCGATAAAACTTTGTCAACTTATTGCTCGCGCTTGCGCGAAGGTTATAAGCTAGTATAATTCATTTACGGTAGGTGACGCAAATATCGTACCGACATATTTTCAATGAATGTTTTATCATTCTTAATTAAATAACATAACTCTTCTTTCTAGTATATTATAAATTTTCTATCCGTTTGTATGTGATTGAACCCATCCGGCTGGGCCGATTTGAATAAAATTGTGTGTGTGCGTGCGTGCGTGCGTGCGAAGCCAGAGTGGATCACACGTCTATTAGTAAAATATGTCGATAACTATGCAGGCGTTAACTACTTCAGCAAATTAGTCAAAACTTGATAATTCAAGAATACTTGGTACTTGGCTACTTGGTTTCAGCAAATTAGTCAAAATTGATTAAGAATACTTGGTACTTGGCTACTTGGTACTCTTCAAAGCACAAATTCATGTGTTATTACTTTCGTATATTATATTGATGGTTAACTGTTACTATCTCTATTGGCCCATAAAGGTCCACTGTTGGACATGAACCACTCCCGATGTAGGGAGGATGACGAGTACAGTGCTAGGAATTTCGCAGTTATGACGCTGTTTATTAGAATCCTTAAGGTTTTTCTGGTGTTTTTTATAATCGCCTCTTAAGACATCCGCGGAACGAAATGAGCCAATGGGTTCTCTTAAAACGCTACTACACGGCACGGATGGTCTTTTTTAATAATATATATTTTTATAGGATAGGTAAGTCACAAATATGGTTTGGTCATGTGGAAAGAATGAATGAGGAAAGAGTGACAAAAAAAATTATGTTGCAGAAGTGAATGGTAGAGTCGGAAAGGGACGTCCTAGGCGAAAATTTATCGACCAAATTGCCGATTTATTGAAAACGGGCCAAATTAGGAGTACCCTTAACCGACGAGCATGTATGCGTAGGTGTATGGATGTGAAGGAGGCGAGAGAAGTGTGTCAGGATCATGCCAAATAGAAGTCTGTAGTCTCTGCCTACCCCTCTGGGTGACAGGCGTGAGTGTTTATGTTATGTATGTTAAGTCACAAATAATGACAAATATGAAACGCTTAATTGCCGTATGACGTAGTACATAAGGAATAGACTTCTTTTTTATGGAATAAGGCTGACAAACGAGCACACGGTCCACCTGATGGTAAGTGGTTGCTGTGGCCCATAGACATTTACATTTATCCCCGATTACAAATCAAAATGCAGATGCGTTGTCACCCGTAAGGAGTAAGATGGAATGCATCGATTCCAGTAAAAAGGGTCCTATTGTCTAGGGCATTAAGCTACTATTTTACGCTGTTATTCCGTGAGAGCTTGGTCATTCTTCAATCTACAAATAATAAATCTACAAGAGATGCTATCATCACTACTAATATTTTCTTTAACCACATCTGGTAAGCTTAAAATGCTTGTGTTAAGAGTGGTTCACGACAGTAATCAAATGGTGGATTTGAACTCAAGACCTTTTGAGTTTGAGATCCGCACACTACCTTTGAGGTACTGTCGCTTAAAATAAAATATTTTCAGTATTAAAGAAAACATAAAAAGAAAGGCAAAAGTGTAATTATCGTTTTTCGTAATTTGGTTTAGAAAGGAAAGCGTAAAAGGGTATTAATGAGGAAAAACTATTGAGGAATAACCTTTTTGCTGCAACAAAAAATTTAAGTTTCTCCATTAGTCATCATTACCGTCTTTACCTTAACTTCCACGTTCAGTTCCTCTAAAATGAAACCGATAATTGTGTTGCTATTTAGCTTCTAAAATTAGTTGATACTTCAATACAAAGTTTAACTTTCGTTCTCAAAATATTAAAATACGTTTGTGTAAAGTGTACATTATTACTTAAAGTAGTAACAATAGTAGTAGTGTAAAAATAAAATAATGTACACTAATAAATGGCCTCATTGCTGATCAAGTTTTAGAGGAAGGAAACGTCAGCTGCACTGGCCTAATGTATTTTGACGCAGTGGCGTAGACATTTATGTGGGAGTATTTTGGAAAGAAAAAGTCAGCTCCCATTAGCCTTAAATTTTAAAATAATGCCAGCAATAATCTTAAAAAAGTTTTTACGGCATGAAGTATAATATAGTCAGTATGATTACAGACTGTGAGGCATTGCATCTTAGGCTTCAGAACTGACAACACATCTGTGGCCTTCTTTGTTTGAAGTAGGCAGGTAACCATGGGCTTTTGTAGCCACTTCGTGAGTTGTGGACTGTATAGTTCTGTTACGAGCTTAATGTTCGTGACAGTAAAATCTGCCTTGAATTACCAAAATTGTCTCTTTAATTACTGAACGCGCAACAGTTCTACAGTTAAATCAATTTTATATAAAACAGTTTTCGTTTCTAAACCTGACATATAACAACATAATGTAACAGCATATTGAATTAGACGTAATACACATAACCAAGTTAGATATTTTGGGTTTAAAAAATAATATACCTGTAACTTGGACCACTGTATTCTGCCAATACATCTGCTAGCATTTCTCCATGCAAGCTTAGCTCCAAATACTAATTCAGTGGTGGTGAATTGATACGTTCCTGTCTTTGCAACTTCTTCTTGGACCGCTTTCCATCTTGCTTCATGAGCTGGTGTATTGGCCCTAGACAATAGGAATAATGGCTATTTTAATACGATCTGAAACGTAATTTACTAAATACCAAAATGGTTGTGTTTGAATTGTGATTTATATTTAGTATACTTAGATTAAAAGTTTTAATTAATAAGTATAACACACACATGCGCGCACACACGCACACACGCAAGCATGCTCGCACATACGCATGCACGTACGACCGCACGAACGTATCTTCAATTCGATATCGATTCGAGGCTAAATATAGGCACGTCTGTGTCACGGAAACCACTCACGATTAGGTGGGCATCTTTTTGGACCTCAGCACCTCAGCAGTACCACAAATGTCCGCTACAGGACATGAACATCTTTCGTTGCGTGGAGGATTTTCATCAATCGTCACCCATGGCAGATATATTGACAATCGCAGGAGAAGACATATTTGCTGGTGGTAGAACCACGCTGCAGCTATATTATAGTTATAGCACGAAGACCCATTCACTCGACCGGGGCAGGACAACTTTCTCACAGAATACCAGCGTAAAATAGCAGGGTAATGCTGCTGTGTCTCGTATCGTGAGTGTAGAGAACCGGAGACCCTTGTTATTAGTTTTTTTAGTTTTATATCACTCTCATAGACAGAAGTTATAAAACTATTGTATTTACAGAAGTGTACAATTACGCCATAAGAATAAGTTTTAGAAGGGAGTTTGCATACACCATTGTTCAGAAATAGTATTAGTATGATGCTATAATAACACTTAGAGCTGTAAAAAGCATGTAATAGCATGTAAAAACAGTTTCTATACAGCTTTAATGATAAAATCAGATTGAAGTGTTACAAAATACTTATAGTTTTATAGTAGAGTTTTCATATTCTGATTAAGAGCCCTATGCTTACTTAGATCCAATAATACAGACTTTATACAGCTTGAGCTGTATAATTAACTCACTAACACTCTCATAAAGATACAACCTCTTTACGACACTCTTATACGCCTCTAACACAACTCTAAGTTCTATGTGGGTTGGTATATTGATGTTTATAACGCTTTTGTGCTGCTTGGGAGGTGACCTGTGTGCTCATTTGTCACGCTATAAAAAAGACATCTCGCATCTTTCACGCCTCTGCTATCCGATCTGGGTATGCTTCGTATGGCATAAACGATATTGTTATACCAATTTTTCAGCTATTTCGTATAATCGCCTCTACGACACTCACGGGACGAGACGTGGTGACGGACTCCCTCACGACACCCGCTAAACAGTTTATTTAAAAATATAAAATAAAATTAACTCTATTTCCGTAACATAAATCGCTGTTTGACACACTCAATAAATTATTTAATGTTTTATAGCACAAAAAAAAACGGGAATATTTAACAGCTTAATCGTAAAGATTTTACTGCCATATTTAAGTTATGACTGTTATAAAATTTTAATATCGCTGCTTAAGTATGTGGAATATATTTTTTAATCTTACCTACGTATAGACGCAAAATACTGTCCAAGAAAGTCCTTAGCATCGTTAAGGACCTCTTCAGGGTTTCTTGGCACGTCACCGCGACCCGGAATCGCCATCAAACTTCCAAGGCATGCCCTCTCGTTGCATAGCGTGGGCTGAGAACAAAGATAAAAAATAAGAAGTTATTCGAAGATGTTTGCATACCACAAAAATACAAATTATTACTACGGCGAAGCAAAAAGGATGGTTATGATTTTGACCGGTATGTAGATGGTTATGTATATTCATTTGTTGCCTTATAACTTCTAAACTGCTAATCAGAATTTGACAAATGAGGTATCGTTGGAAGCATCTTGATCGTCCGCTGGTTATAGGCTATGTGACGTCGCGACCACATCTATCCTATGAACATCACTATGAATACGTGTTAAATACGTTAAAATATTATTACGTGTAAATTGTTTATTTTTTAATAGGCGATAAGTATTGAATAGTCTGTACATAACAATTTCAGATGAGAATATTTTCTTGTTTCATACTTTTTAGAGCTTGATTTTTCAGTAATCGGGTTTTAGTTTCCGAAGTTACTTTTTATTTTCATTTTACGTAATATTTTAGTTAGTAATGATTTTCTTCTGGTCGACTGCAACCAATCCAACAATTTCTGCCTATTATAAACTATCCTCCCAAAAACGGAAACACCTGTACAATAACAGCGGAGAGAGACATGGATGTATAATAAATTCTCACTTTTTATTGAAAGAAAAAACTGACAGCTTCCAATCATATATACAATTAACAACACAAAATACATTATAAATAGCTTGGTAGCCTGATCCTTGATCGCCTCATTCCCAGAGGTTATTATCATCCACAAATTCCTAAATATTATAATAACACTTTTTATACAAAATTTGTTTAATAAAGCTTTTCTACCGACTTCAAAAAGGAGGAGGTACTTACTCAATTCGACTGTATGTTACTTTTTTATGTTTACCTCATAAATTTTTCTAGGTGCACCTATTTTGATGATTCTTTTTATTTGAAAGATGGTGCTTCTCATGTGGTCCCTTATAAATTTGATCACGGTGTGACTAATAGTTTTTGAGATAAACTTAATACTTTATATTGAAGTTGGTTGTACAAATATTTTTATTTTAAATTACGAACTTTGAGAAAGTCTCTAATATTCCCAATACGGCTCATCTATGGTGCTAATGTTCAGCAGTGAACTATAATGGTCTATAATGGTAGTGATACGGTAAATACATGCCATGTAATATTGGATATCCAAATTATTACAAATTCAAAACTGGTTTTTAATTTAATTACAAGGGTGATAAACTCATCACTGAGGGCCAAGATGTTGAAAATGCCTCATTACACGTAAAAAGGAAACTCAGTTCTCGTCACAAACCAAATAAAGCACGGCAACGTTTTCAACGTGGTAGAGCTACGCTGCAGTTATATTAAGGCAGCTACTCACTTGTCCGCCGAAGGGGTAATCTGGGGTATAGGAGTGGGGTTACCCTTAATTGCCTCCTTAGTTGTGATATGTGTATGCAAGCAAGGGCAATTTTCTAAGTTAGCCCTGCGGCAGGGTGGCAGGGACGCAAGACCTTCCTTGCTCCCTAGATCGTAGCTGCCGCTGTCGCATGTGTAGCGCCATTAAGGATATTTCAATGTGTTCGTTGGTGACTTTCGCACGGAGTTGGTGACTTTAAAAGTGGTAGAGTTACGCTGCACCCTATAAGCTTTATTTTTTGTTAGTAATTATTAATTAATTATTAGTTTTTTTTTAAATGTAAATGTGGACTTTGTGTTCGTTTGTCACCCTTATTTTATACTAGTGGATAACCGGCGTGTGCTACTATGCTAAAAAAATAAATACATTTTGTTTATTAATTGAAAAAAAAAACGGTTTTTTTTAATTTATATACTTTTTATATAGTGCCTAATCCATTGTTTTAGGGGTCTTAATCCATCTTCGCATTATTGCATTTCTAATGAAACCGGTTTGGGGTACATCGGTTGGCTGGTTTCAAAGTATATAATGGACATATGTAGAAACATTTTTGTGTATTATATAGAAAGATAGAAAAAGAGGCTATATACATTGCAATTTCGATAAAACTGGAAGCATTCTAGCGCGTGTGTCCAGCGCGACGTACACTCTCATACTAAACGGCAGGCATGTCTGTAGAGATATTTCTGATATCGCCCAGATCGCTGTACACCCTAGATTGCCCCTGCGGCTGGCAAGTGAGTAGCCGCCTTTAGTAGTATAGTTCTAGCATAAATGGGTTGGCTCGACCGGGGAAGGACCACGCTCTCACATAATACCAGCGTAAAACAGCCCCAATGCTGCTGTGTTTGTTATGGTGGGTGTAGAGAACCGGAGACCCTTTTTATTGGAAACGAGACATTCCATCGCAGTCCTCACGTGTGACAACGCATCTTCATTTTGATTCATAATCGAGGATAGATGTAGATTTTGTAAATGTCTATGGGCTACAGTAACCACTTACCATCAGGTAGACTTTATGCTTGTTTGTCTCGCTATCCTATAAAGAAACAGAAGCATTATGTTGCTAGCTGCTGTTTTTTACAGGATACTGCACTGTTATTCTGTATGCGCGTCACTCCCCAGTCGAGCTGTACCTTTTTGGACTGCAATTGTAAAATAGCTGCTACGTAACTCTACCATGTATTAATATTGCTTATTATAATGTAATAAATAAACATCATATGCAAAAATATGTTTAAACTACCCGCCTCTTCCTTTAGGCCATCCGCCTCTGTTTCGCACGGGTTATTTTTGAATTCCGGCAACAGCGCCACCTACCACCCGATAGGTGACGGAATTGTGAATCTAAACCATTCTTGAATCAACTTAATCACACACAAAAACTTTTATCAAACTCGGTACAGCCGGTAAGTAGGAGTTCAGTCACACATACACGGAAATAAGAATTATTATATTTAATAAAACTATTATTTATGGATTTTATCGCGTTTAATTACTACGGTTCGGGTGTTTTACAGCACCCATGGTCACGGAGGGGACTGAGATGTTTGACGTCCCAATGTCATAGTTAGTCCGGCTACCTTCAGTTTTTGAATATTAGTTTTTAGTCCGATTTACCCAAAACGAGCTAATAGTATCATAAAGTCTTGCAGTGGTATGCTTGGGTTTGGATTTAATTTTGTTAATTATAGGATCCCAAGTAGGGAAGTCTGTAGTCTGCAAACATTTTCAAGATCGTCCCCACCATTATATTAGATTTGATCAACCACAAAGCCTCGAAAAAAAAAACACCGATTCTTACCAAGGATGATACGCGAGGATATTGATATTAAAAAATATCCAAATTTCAAATGAGAACATGGGTGGATGCTGCCATCTGCTGTTGTTGTGCTGTAAAGCACCCGAAACGTCGGGATAATAAAAATAAATTAAAGTAGTAATTAAACGCAACAAAATCCGTAAAAAATAGTTTTATTCAACGTGTAGTGTTCGCGTAAATTTAAGAAATCATTAAGAATTATTATATATAAAGATTTAAAAGAATTAAAAAAATTGTAAGACTAGCGCGTTGAGGACTCTGTATAAACTTAATTATGTATGTAGCTAAAGCTAATTAATTAATCCATCCTGGGAGTTGTTGTAATATGAGCGCAGAACTTAACATTGCTTTAATCAAAAGGGTACCATAAAGTTTTTAATGAGTGTGTTTGCGTGTGTCCGTATGTGACATAAAAGGCAATATCTTCTCATTTCATAGACTTAGAAGCTTCAATTTTTGACACCTTCAATATACGAGTATATGTACTCTAAGCCAAGGAATCGTAGACGTAGACGTACGTGAGCGTAATTAGGTCATCCGGTTAATATGGTCACTTTTTTATAACTAAAAAACTACGTCCTCTAGTATCCTCTATTATCAGTCAATCAACTAATAAGAGGTCAAAAGGGCGCTACTTTAATAACGCCATTTTGACAGTTGACAGTAAAGTATATATTATGATCCTTAATGATTTCTTAAATTTACGCGAACACTACACATTGAATAAAACTATTATTTACGGATTTTATCGCGTTTAATTACTTTAATTTATTTTTATTATTATCCCGACGTTTTCGGGTGCTTTACAGCGCCCATGGTCACGGGGGGGGGACTAAGATGTTTGACGTCCCAATGTCATAGTTAGTCCGGCTACCTTCAGTTTTTTAATATTAAAAAACTGAAAAAATTTAATATTAAAAAACTGAAGGTAGCCGGACTAACTATGACATTGGGACGTCAAACATCTTAGTCCCCCCGTGACCATGGGCGCTGTAAAAAGCACCCGAAACGTCGGGATAATAATAAAAATAAATTAAAGTAATTAAACGCGATAAAATCCGTAAATAATAGTTTTATTCAATATTATGGTCCTTATCTATTTTTATTGGTTGTTTTTTTTTTCAGTTTACCAAATTATTTTCTAAGCGTCTTTGCTATTTTTTAAAATATTTTTAAAGTACCCTTACGACATTTTGTTTTGTCTCTGTCCTCTTCCTAATTTTGGCCTTATAGGGCGGCAAAGTTTATTGTGACAATAATACCCTCACGTACCTTAAAAGAAGGACCTTGACAAACGGACAGATACAAAAACATGATTGTATAATACTTCCTTTTCAAGTACGGAATCCTGAAATTGATAAAATGTTACGTTATGAAATATTACCAGTATCAGCAGTAGTATTCTTTAAAGTTCTGTGGATACAGATATTATCATAATTGATTAAATTGCGATTGTCTTTATAATCTGTACTATATAAAAAATATTGCTTAAATGAATTTATTAATTTAAATAATACATCGCTTTAAAAATAAATTGTGATTGTTTTTTAATAAACACAATTGAAAAAAAAAAACCATTTTCAACATATTCGATTCTCCGAATACGCTTCTGAAAGCGACGTGAACATTTAGTGCAATTAGATCGTATTCGTGTATACGCAAATGTTATTTTCTCTCCTAGAAAGCTGTAATACGGGTATTGCACTTTAAATTACTTACTTTAGATTGTTTCGAAGCGTTAAAATTAACATTTTTATGTTCAAAACAAAGAAATACTCTAATGTAACTACATTCAATGCACGCAACAC